CCCCCCTTTTTTTTTTCTTTTTTGTTTCTTATGAGACCTCACCCACCTTCTCTTGCTTCGTGCCTCTCGAGGATCGACCGTGATGACAGTCCTCGGTGCACCCCCACTCCCTAGTCCCAACTCAGTGTCTACCTCTCAGGACCATTACCCTTCCACCATCTTGGCAGGGTGACCTGATGGGACAGCAGTTCCAGAAACCCTGCTTAGCCCTGGTTGAAGCATATGGTTGAATGAGCCCTGTTGTATGGGTACTTCCGGTGCTAGGTGTAAGTGTTCTCTCTACAGGCCCCATGGGTAGACGCTTAGTGCTCCCCAAACTTACCTGGGCTCCGCAGTGTATGGATCTAGTTGTGCGCATCCTAAATATCACAGGCAGTGTCTAATGGCCCCCGCCTTCCCAAGGTCTAACCTATGACACCCCCTGAGCACCCTGGGTATACCCACCTAGCACAGCTGTTATTGGTTGCTCTGGCCATGGTGTTAATACGACCTAGATATACTCTAGCCTCTGTCATCGGTAGATGTATGGCCACCATCCGCCTCCTACCTCGGTCATCAACTACACCCCTCTCCAGTCGCTGTGGTAGTACGGCTGTTGTTCTGGTCATTGTTGGTTGTATATCATCTTGGACATACTCCAGTCTCTGTCATGAATAGGTACACCGCCACCATCGGTCTCCATACCTTGGTCATCAAGTAGACCTCTCCCGCCATCGTAGTTGTTTCTGTCATTACCCAGACTTGCCCAGTCTCGGTCATCAGTAGGCACACGGCCACGATCTGCCCCAGTATCTCTGTCATCAACTGGGTCCACTCCGGTCACCCTCTTCAACCATCCTACCTGTGGCCCCTGCCCCCCCACAGTGAGGCCCTAAGGTAACCCCCAACTACGTGGTCATCCACTCCACAAGGCCTATCCACCATCAATCCCTTTCTCTCAGTCCAACCTGAGATCAACGTTGCCTGACCCCACCCTGGAAGGGCCAGACTACTCAGTGCTCTGCAACCGGTCCTCAGCACTAGAACCCCTGCCCCATCCCTGCCTGTGCTCCAACTATATCTTTCCTATGTGATGTTGCACAGTGTCATGTGCCACATTAAGGAGAGCAGTCTTTTGACTCAGACGTCAGAAATAACTTTCTGTGTTGGATTTTGAATTTTTGACTTGAAATGGAAAGAAAGGACAATTATGTAGCTCACTCGTTGATCGATTGCTCCTTTTTTTTTGGCACCATATTGTTAACCTGTCTTGCGTTTTGAATTTCTTTTCTTTTTTTTTTTTACATGCATTTTGAATTTCGTTCTTTTGTGTTTTTTAGATGCATTTTGAATGTCTTTCTTTCTTTTTTTTACTTGCATGTTGAATTTCTTTCTTTCTTTTCTTTACTTATTCCTTGTTTTTCCTCCTTTCCTACTGGATTATCTCAGTGCAGGTCTCAAAATTGCCGAAGCAGAATCACCCAAACGGAAATTTGTAGTGGCAGCAAATCTCGAGGGGAGACAAGTGGATGTATCCACTTCAAGACAAGACTTGACTGGGAAAACGGTGGTGGTACGTCTCTCTCTCTTTCTGTGTCTCTCTCTCTCCGTCCCTCTCTCTCATACTGTTGCTGTCTTTTCTCGCTTTTCCCCTCATGCCTGTCAGTTCTTTTCTTTACATTCTCCTTGATTTAAAGGGGACAGGCCATGGCAGGATTTGATCTGGTGATCTGTTGTTTATCAACAGGCATGTGTGTTGTCATGTTCGCTATACACAACTCCACAGACAGAAGCACGACTCTGCTACACTGTTTGACAGACTTTCACCGACTCATCAGGAGTCATGTGTGTTCCTTCCTCATGTTCTCAATACACAACTCCACTAATATAGGCATGACTGTGACAGACTGTTTTGTCGAACTTTCACCGACTCATCAGGAGGTTGCACCCCGACAGTGTGCCCAGGATGCATTTTCCTGATGGATAAGGACTCGCCACATCGCTCAGAGTTAGCGATGCCCTGAGACAATTGTTCCATCACCAACCTGGCAACCCTAGCAGACTGTCGGTCTGAACCCCTGACAAGAACGGCAGTAAGTCTGAGAAACTAATCTGACTCTGCCATAAACCCACCATGCACACCCACTCAGCCATGGAAATGGCATGACCGCTACTGTCTTCACCCGAAAATAACGCCCGGGTGTTATATTCAACTTATCCTAAAAAAGTCCGAATTTAATTTTTACTCATTTTTTTCGGAATATAACGCCCCTTCAAATATAACGCCCGGGCGTTATATTCGAATAGAACGCCCGGGCGCTCTATTCGAATACGTCATTGTAAAACGTCGTTTTTTTTTGTTTTTTTTTCCCGCATTAGTTGTGTGTGTGTGTGTGTGTGTGTGTGTGTGTGAGAGAGAGAGAGAGAGAGAGAGAGAGAGAGAGAGAGAGAGAGAGAGAGAGAGAGAGA